ATTATAAATAAAGTTTGCTTAAATAATATTTAATAATCCTAAACCCTTAATTAATTATTATTCTTTAATATAAAATAAATAACATTTAATAATAAGCTTATAAAAATAATATAAAAATATTTCTTAAGCATTAATCTTTACCTTAAGTTAAGAAAATTAGCTAAGTTAATAAATTTAATAAAATAATATTAAGCCTTTTTTACTCTTAATTTCTTTAATATAAAAGGAATGCTTTATAAATACAAAAAATTAAAAACTTAGTATATTATAATCCTTATAATTTAGCAGCTTTTTAACTTTTAAAATATTATATTCTTGCTTAAAAAATCTTTATATTATAATTATATCCTACTTAAGAAATATTAATAATATAAATTAATAAAGAATTATAAATTTATTATTATGCTTATTTATATGCTTAATTATTAAATAATAGTAATTTTTAATAAAATAAAAAATTATTGCTTATTATAAAATAATTTTATATTAAAAGATAAAAAGAGTAAGATAAATAAGGATATTAAAGTACTTATTTATAAATATTTAATAGCTATTTTAAAAAATAAAATATAAAATTTTAATAAAAAGTTTATATTAAGATTAAAATAAATTAATAAAGTATTTTATAAGTAGTATATTATTAAGTTTATTAAAAATCATTTTAAGGAAAACTAAGAAAAGAATAATTAAGAGGTATAAAATTAAGCTAAGACTTCTTTAATTAAAATTATATACTTTAAGATACTTAAAGTTATTATTAATATTACTACTTAAATATTTATTATTTAATTAAAGCTTAATAAAATTAATAAAGCTATTTAAATATTTATATTAATTTTTTTTATTAAGATTAATAGTATAAAAGTAATTAAAGCAAAAAGTAAGCTTTTATTATAAAAGGATATTATTTAATAATAATTATTTAAATTATAATATATTAAAATTATTATTAATTATAAAAAGAGCATAAGGAAAATAATACCTTTAATATAAATTAATTTAATAACTTAATTTTAAATATTTAATATATAATAAGGTATAAATTTTTATATAGCTTAAAATTAATTAAGTAAAACTTTAATTAAATAAGCCTTTAACTTAAGTATTATATTATAAGATATTTTAAAGTTAGCAAGAAATACTTATCTTAATATATATAAGGATCTTTTTTATTTATTTATTTTAATAATAAATATAAATAAAACTTAAAATATATTAATTAACTTAAAATAATTAAAATAATAATAAAGTTTGCTTAAAGATAATTTAAAAAGCTTATAAATAAGTTAATTAAGTAATTAAATATAGGGTATAAATATTAAAAGTAAAAATATTATAAAAAGTAAAAGTAAAAGCGAAAGCTTTATAAAAAGTAAAAGTAAAAGTTAATAAAGCTAATATATTATACTTAATGCAATAATTAAAAGGAAAAATAAATTTACTTTTTATTTTATAAAGGTATTTAAATCTTTAATAATTATATTAATGCTAGCTATTAAAGTAAATTTTAATAATTAAAAAAATATAATTAATAAATATATTATTAAGTAGGTTTTAGGAATATTTAAAGCTTTTATAAAAGAGTAAAAGCTATAATAAAATAAGTAAGCAAGGGATTAAAGATAATAATAATAATTAAAATTATAATAAGGTAAATTTTAAAATTTAAAGGCTTAATTAAAAATAATAAAGTTTTATTTTAATGGTTTTTATAATATTTATTATAAAGTATTTAAAGAGGGGTATATTAATGGGTATAAGGAATTATATAAGAAATAATATTGCATTAAATTTTAATTAGCTATAAAAAGCTAGCTTTTATGCTTATTTTAAATATTCTTTTAAGAAATTAACTCTTTTTTTTTCTTATATATTTAATGCTTTAATTAAGCTTTTTTTATTTTTAAGAATTTCTAAAATATTTATCTTTTTCCTTTCTTTAACTCCCTTTTATTTTTATTTTTTTTCTTTATTGCGTTAAAGCTCCTCCTTAAGTTGTCCTTGAGAGGGTTTAGCAGAACTTGTTCCTATTGTTTAGGTGGCTCGTTTTCAATATCTTAAGAAGTAAAGTCTTTTATAAAGTATTAAAGTAAATTATTATTTATATTTTAATATTTTATTATTTCCTTTATAAACTTAAAAATAGCAATATTTATTTAATTAATTATATTATTTACCTTTATTATTAATTTATCTTAATAGCTAAAATTAACTTATTAACTTTAAAATCTTTTATTAAGGTTAAAAAGTAATTAAAGTTCTTGCATAAAAGCATTATTAATATTTAAGGGTATTTCCTTAATATTATTATTAAATTTAGCCATTTTACTAAGCTATTAAAATATTTAAGTAATTTATATATAAGGGAAAAAGAAAAAGGGTAATTAAGGAAATATAATAAGGTTATTTTAAAGCATAAAAAGAAAATATTAATTATATAATAAAAGAATATTTATTAAGGAATATTTATTAATTTAAGTAAATATAAATTATTATTTATATTAAAGTAAAGTAATTATAAGCACTTTTAATATTAATTATATAATAAAACGCGTTATATAATTAATAAATTTAAGGCATTATTAAGGACTTATTAATTAATAGGTTAGATTTTTATAATAAGAAGGTTAAAGCATTATTAATTTCTTTTTATTAATTTTAATTATAATATAACTATTAGCATTTAATTAAGTAAGGTTTTATTATTAATAATTACTTACCTTTATAATATTAATATTAACTATTTAGCATAAATATTGCAACTTAATTATAATAATTCTCATTATTAATAATTATTACTTAATTAATAGCAATATAAATTTATTGCTTACTTACCTTATTATTTATAACTACCTATAAGTAATTACTAATTAATATTAACTAAATTAATATATATTAATTAATAGCAGATTAGTTATATTTAAATTGGCTATATAGAAGGAAGGAGGGTTATGGCCATAGGCTGCAAAACCTCCCTCTGGCTATAAACTATCTAGGGGTGGTTATATGCTGCCGCATATAACCCTTGCCTGCCAGTACTTTAGTGTTAATTGCCCATAGTGCCTATCGCCCATAGTGCCTATCGTGCCCAGTGCTGCTGTCCCCCTATGGCACGTCCATAACCACATAATTACTTATTAAAGAATATTAAATATAATATAAAGGTAAAAACTTTAGAAATTATTATAAAGTTTTATTATTATTATTAACTTTATAGTTTTACTTTATAAAAATTTAAATTTACTTTAAAAAATAATTATAACTTTAATTATAAGATTATTATTAATATTATATATTTTTTTAAAAATAAGCTTATTTTTTATATTATTAATTTAATAATAATATTTTAAATAGCTTAATTTCTTAAGTTACTCTTAATTAAAGATATATAAAAAGCACTTTATAAATATTAAATTAATACTTATCTTAGCCCCCTTAATTAAATTCTTTATAATATTAATATAAACTTTATATTTATTAAGTTTTAAGGAATAGCATAAATAATGGGAATTGCTTATAAATAAGTCTTAATAAAAGCTTATTAGTTTATTAGCAAGATTAAATGCTATTATGCTCCTTTTTAATAAATATTTAATATCTTATATATTAAGTTAATTATTATTTATGCAAAAAAAGCTATTCTTTAAATAATAATAAAAATTATTAATAATACTTATAGCCTTTAAGGCATTATATTTATATTACTTATCTTTAAAGCTTATTTATACTTTATAAAAAACTTAATTCTTACTTTTTTAATATAAAAGTAAGTTAAAGCCATTAAAATAATAATAAAGTCTTTAAAGAAAATAAACATTAAATAATAAGTAAATATAGCTCTTAATACTTATAATAAACTTAATATTATAAAAACTCTTAATTTATTATTATAAAGTAATATAAAAGTGTAATAAGAAAAGGATAAATAATAAGGCTTATATAAACTTTTTATTATTAATAATTATAACCTTACTTTAAATCTTTTAAATAATTTAATAATTTTTTAATTTATAATAATATAGCTATATTATTATAATAAAATAAAAAATGCTATAATTTAAACTTTATAGCTAAATAATAGTTTATAATATATTATATACTTTAAGCTAAATCTTTTAAATATATATTTAAATTCTTTAAAATTAAGGTAATAAAGATAACTTTTAAAAATAAAAAATAAGTTAAAGATTTTTATTAAGGTATTTTTAGCATAAATATTTATTATTTAAACATTCCTTAATTAAATATTTATTACTTAATGCAAGAAAAATAATTATAAACTTATATTAAAGCTTTAATAAAATGATATAATTATTATATTTAAAAACTTATTTAAGGAATTTAATTATAAAAAAGTATTAAACTTAATTAAATATAATATCTTTAAGTTTATACTTTATAATAAAAAGATATATAATAATATATAACTCTTTAAGTTTTAAATAATATATAAGATTAAAAGCAAAACTAAGAAGCCTTATAAAAAGTTATGCTTTATAATAGCTAATTATGGTAATTATAATAAAAAAGAAATTCTTACTTAATCCCTTACTATTTAATAATTAAGCTAATAACTTTTAATTACTTTAATATTATTTCTTTTTTAATAAAAAATATATATTAAGCTTTAAAATATTACTTAAGCTTATTTATAATTAAAGTTAAAGCTTAAATATATACTATTACAATTAGCTGCTCCGGGTGAGATTCCTTATGGGGAAGCTGCATGTTGTGCTGGAGGGATCACCCAACCCCTGCCCTAGCCACAATGCCAAGACCAGCCCAGGTACCGTCTCCGCACGGCGTCCAGTAGTTGAAGGTACTGCTCACCAGAGCAGATGTCACTTTATAGGCCCCACCCCAGCTCCTCGCAGCTGGTAGCGCCCAAGGCCCTGCATATATACTCCCTAATGCCTTCCTGGTTTACTTTGCCCAGGTGGATTTGATACACTTTGCAATACTTATCACCACTCCAGCCCAACAGGTCCTTGTCAGGCATCATGTTTGCAAGCAGCAGGAACCATGATCAATCATCATTTGCCCAGGTCCTTCGCCAACGGCGGCCGCGCAGAAGAAGACCAGAGCGCACAGCTAGCGGCAGCCCACCTCCCAAGTCGACCCCAGGGTCGTCGATCACGGCGGCTCCAGCAGCACCCACCATCGCGAGCCCGGCTGAGATCGCGCCCGACCAAACCCCCAACTTCCCCACAACGGCGGCCCTCACAGTACATGGCTCATCGAATACAATTCTGTCCACCTTGGAGGCCTCCGCTGCAGGGGCGACAGCAACAGTTCCACCAAGCCCGCCGAGCAGTACACCGGGTTCCCAAAGTCCCAGGCCGCAGCCCTGGGCAACGCGCAGTCGCCGTTCCTCCCACCCAGCGATACTTTCCAAAAGAAGAGCAATCCAAGGGGTGGACATGTCGGCGTCCGGGGCTGCAGGCACGTCCGCTACGAGGCCCGCAAAGCGATCGCGGACGTTCGAGCCTGGAACAGTTAGGGCGAGGACAAGCACAGTCATGGCTAGACCAAACGGTGCGGATATACTTGCGTCTGGTCCACCGGGCCCAACCAAAAGGGACAGCTGCGAGCTCTGTTCAAACCTCATCGACGGCCAGCCAAGAAAGCAGTGCCAGACATGTTCAGATATATATTTCTGTCTGAAGTGCGCCATCAACTCGGCGGTCTTACATCCAGGACATGAGTTCGAACTGGTGGAGCCCTCAGGTAAACCGAGCATTCAACAAAACAGACACGAGAGCCGCAATCAGCTGGCACTAAGTCGGTCTTCCATCCGCAGCGGTACAGTCTCGTCTCGAGCACAGTCGGATGAATCACGAGGGACGCCTTCCCGTGAGATGCAGGCTGAGGTTGGCGACGAGGTGGGAGAGGGGATCCCCGGGCAGACCGGCGGGGAGGTTGACGACGAGGAAGCTCGCCAAATGCTAAGGACGGTGATGCGGATACCCTTCTGCAAGAATTGCGAGACAAAATTGTTCGATCTACGCTACGAATGCCAGGACTGCCCCGATACGAACTTTTGCTCAAGCTGTCGTTTAGTTCATAATCGTCATACGCTGAAGCTCGTTACCTCGCCAATCATTATCAGCAGCTGGGACAACTCTGATGAAGACGGGGAAGTTCCCGATGACGCAAGCAGTACCCATGACGGGACGGATGAGGATAGCGACGCTTCTATACACCCCGAATTCGATGGAGGTGGTGAAAATGCGGAGTATGGTATCGAGCACGCCAATATCGAGTACATTTCTGACGATCGTGGCCGGGGAGAGACCGATGAGTGGGTTGATAGCAGCCCTGAAAACATCATCAACAGCAAAGAGTGCCGCCCAATCGAGCTACGATCAAGGGCACGAAAATCACCGGTCCGGCAGCCTGACATTCCTTTCAAGGACTTCTCACAAATCGCGAGAACAATGACGAAGGCAATGAAGCGGATGCAGGCCGTGGTTCGCGCTGCAGAAGACATGGTGCGTGTGCAGACTCACCAGAACTCGTCCCAAAGAGGCGTCCCAAAGACCCATGACAGCGAACGCAGTAGATCCACGTCGAGAAAGCGACCCGTGCCTGAGGCCCTTCTCGACTTCCCCATCGACTTCGCTACACTGGACTATGATGACAATGACGACGAGGAGAGTGAGGAAGAGGGCAAGGATGAGGGGAGAGGTGACGAAAGTAGCAGCAGCAGCAGGATATGCCCACGGCCCCGGAAGAGGAATAGGCAACGTCCACGACAGTGGTCATCGAAGGATCGGCGTCGACTTGCCCAGCTGAAGCAGAAGGGGTGGAAAGATGATCGAATAGGCGCCGATTTGGGCCGGAGCGCGAGTGCTGTGTCGCAGCAATGGCGCAAACAGAGGTTGCCTGAGGGCTAGAAGAGGAAAGGAAAAGTGTATCATGTAACATAGGACTTGTGATCAGGATATCCAACTGATTATTGGCAATGGAAACCGGCAGCCCATCCAATAGCTGTGGAGAGCTTTCAAACTGAGAGCTCAAGGTTGGCGCTACTCGCAGGGCCACCCATCTCACAGACCCTTTACATTGTGCCCAACAAATGAACACTGATGAACAGGCGCGGTTGCCGTGGAGGGAATCCTTCGAGGACGTGATCCTAAGGTCAAAGAGCCTGACCTGAGTCGTTCGCGCACGCGTCTGACATCGTGTAGGGTTCCTCATCAAGGGCCTTGAACAAATGCGATCCTTAGGCAGCAGAGGTACGTTGGCCGGCCGTAGCTGTCGGCGGCCCATGCGAGAGCGCGGTGTTCGGACTCTCCATCCTCGATCGAAGTGGAAAAAGTACATCGAAGCGGTGTGCTGTCACGACCTCCTGTCTACGACTTCATCTCAGCCGCGAGGGCGAGGCTCACAATATGTATAAGTATCAGAAAGCGACACTGTCCCACTCAATGTTCATGAGAGAAAACACCTCTTCCTTCATCATTCTTCAGTCGCGGAACCTCCTAGACCTCAGATATCTTTCAACCTAAGACGATATGCACTCCACCAACAGTACCAGACTGGAGAGATTTGAGAGTCATAGAACCGACACGGAAACCTTGCTCCAAAGCTTCTACCAACTCAAGCAGACGACGAGAGACCATGTCGAACTGGTGTACGGATTGACCATGAGGCAACAAGACTTTCCCGAAACGGACTCGTACTGTCGGATCCAACAGGCGTTACGTTTTCTCGGGGCCAACATCACCACAAAGACAGACCCCGAGGACTTACTTATAGCATGGGTCGACAAGAGAAACAAGGCGGCGTTCAATTTCGCTCAGGAATCCGACCGCGAGCTGAAAGACCAGGCAGCTAGAAGCCTTTGGACATTCCACGAACTAAAAGTCATCACCGCGAAGTGGATGCAGGGGAAGGACGAGGACAGACTTGTGCGCCTGGGACAATGCGCAATGCAGGTCGCTGCTAAACATGCTGCACCCAGGCCTCCTGATGTCACAGGGAGCGTCCCACGGACGTTGAAGGAGGCAGCACGGCTAGGAAAAGGACAGTGGGGGTCGGGCCATGCTGATCCAAGTTTCAAAGAGAGAGTGTGCGAGCCGGGCGAACTACCAGGCATGCACCAAGGCGGAAATGCAGGAAGCAGGCGGTGGCGACGACATAAACGCAGAAGAGGAAGTGGTGCGAGATGATTTGACGGTACGAGTCGGCGATTCTACAACATTGGATTTGATCACGTCTGTCACCAAGGCTCACAACGCCGCTATGAAAGCGAACGAGGACGCCACAAACGCCTATAACGCTGTTGCGCGGAGGACTGCAGAACTGGTCACCAATCTGCTCCAACAGCCAGACCGTACTGGCCGTCCTGTTGTCATGCCAGGACGATACCTCGAGCCCGCCCAGCACGTGAATTATCCATGGAGGAGCAAAACTAAGGGACGCAAATGAGCGTGGGAAAGGGCTGACAGGGTGTTAATGAGAAAGCAATAACACGGCAGGAACGGTATTCGGTATGGGCCATCTTCTTGTACTGCGCGCAGAATAACGCGGAGGTTAGATGCATTTATAGAAGAAAGGCAAGCTCCCAACCAGGCGTAAAATGAATATTTATCACCGGACGTAATACATAAGGACACGTACGAAGAGACCGCGTTCCGTCGCGACCTGGCACAATCCCCTTCAGGGAAATACACCTGGGCAGGGTTGCAACGCTTTCACGTTTAGGGTGGCTCACCTCGGCCGGGTCATCCACTTGTGCGGTTGCGCAGGCGTCTCGCAGGTGCCTGGAAGGAGATCAAGGTTGGCACTACTGTGGGCCCCCTCAGCCGTGACCCTTTGACACCTGGTAAATCATACATCCGGGCGTAATTTCCTTGTTGGGTGTTTTGCAGCTGCGATGATGCCACATGGCATGGACGCTGTGCCGTGCCCCACCGTTTGCTAAGGTGTGAGTGCGTCATTCACTTCCAATCAAGGAGGGAGCTAATAGATGTCTCATGTGGCAAACAATGCAGAAGATTGCGAGTCTATGCCGCATGAGGATTCAAAGCCCAGGCAATCCCCGGGTGCCATCTCAAAAACGGCCTCCAACATCAACCTCTGGCCTTGACGCTTTCCCAAGCACAATACCCTTATACTGTGAACCAGCATGGGTTGCACTCCTAGCCACATTGTGGGCGAAAGCACTGTTGCCATTAATGACATCTTGCAGGATGACATGGTAAGTTCCGGATTCTGAGTACCAATAGATTCAAGCTCTAAGAATAGCAGGTTATCAGAAATCTATCAGTGTACAGCTCATCGCTGTCGGAAAAGTCACGGCAAAACCTATTGTTTCTAGCGAAAATAACGCCCAAAATAGCGGAGACCTGCACATCCGATGCAGCTAGGGAGTCAGGCCATCTCGAATTACTGGATCATCGCAGGGACCTCAGGAAGTTCTTACGGCTCGGGCACGCTGACACCGATCTTGCTTACAGCCTTCAAAGGGACTTCGAGTGTTGGAAGAAAGAGCCGATGACTTTCTTTGAGGGTCTTAATATGGAAACAGGCGGGGGAATGGAGGCGTACCTCACCAGGCAAACTGGTAATGCTTGCCTCCTGGACAACGATGAACCCAGAAATCGCGTCAGGTTGAGATTCTTCAAGGTCTTCTTCACTGAGGCTGAAAGAATCTACCACAACTCCGGCGAGCTGGAGGAACATGGAAGGTGGGATTGGGCCAGTCGGGGTCGTATATACGACTATCTGAGAGTCAATTTGGGCACTGGTTGCCTTTTCTTACTGCCTATCGCTGTTGGTGATAGTGTGTAAGTTTCTACCAGTTCCAGCAGGTCGCACCTTTCTGACATCTGCATCTGGGCAGCTGGGAGAGACGGTTATCAGCCAAAGGCAAGGAGCGCGAAGCAGTAGTATATATCCTGAAAGAGCTTCGCATCATGCAAAAGGCCGATGACATCGAGGCAGACATGCTCGGCACTACCATTTTGACAGAGCTTCTAAGACCCCTCACATCTGGTCATACTGCGTCAGCACCAACGTCGACCAGCTCTAGACGGGACTCAGCTCTTGTCGAGACACGACTGAACAGACGATCCGAACAGGTCTATTACCGGCTTCCGATTGTCACCCAATATGATTCACCTGTTTTCATATGCGTGCAGAACGGAGATATCGAGGGAATGAGATACCTCTGGGGGTCAGGCTCAGCCTCCATCGACGCGGTCGATCCATATGGCCTTGGATTACTCTACTATTCCACTTACTACTGTTGGCGGAATTGCGGTATAGAGGCCTCATTTGCCACATGCAAAGCATTGGTTGATGCTGGTGCTAACGTTGAGTGGGTGGATGATGTGGGAAAGTGCGTGCCCTCCCCTGTCCTAGGAAGATTCAGTGTGACTGACGGGCTCAAAGCTCCCCAATAGATACGATGGTAGATCTTATTTTGGTTGAGTCGGCTATGGCAGGTCAGCCTTTCATGCCTTTCCTGAAGGAGCTCGGACGACTGTTCGGGAGCCCCGCCGATGAGATTTGGACGACATACAGCTGCTCGCGAGGGTTCACGGACTTGCACAATATCTTGCTGAGGATCGACATACGAATGTCGCTGGAAGCGTATCTCACTGAAACGGTTGCAAAGAACAAGGACTCCGCCGTCCTTCAGGCCAGAGACCTCACGGGCAGGACAGCTCTTGATTGGGCGGTCGAGCACGGCTGGGTAGGCGCAGTGAACACACTAATATTCTACGGAGCTGATGTCAACGAGAGGAGAGGACGTGGCTTGTCTTTGCTTCACCTCGCCTTAGCTGGGCCACTATCTGGCAACCTGTTTTCCTCGTTCTTGGAGATTGTGAAAACGCTACTCGCAAATGGAGCTGACGTCAATGCGATTGACGATGAGGGGTGGACACCATTACACGTTGCTGCATCATGGGGCTCGGATGTGGCTGTCGATGTTTTACGACAATTTTCTGGCGACAACTTGCTTACAGACCAACGCACGTACTGTTGTCAGACTGCTGATCAGCTGGCTCAAAACAACTGGGATGGACACTGCTTGGCCAAATTGATTGTACCTAGTCCGTTCTAGCACGCGTGGCATACAATCCTGTCATGGGCACTGAGCCGTATTCACCAGTGCCATGAGGCCAAATGCACAGTTGCCGTGCTCGCGTTCAATGTACTCGCGAACAATACTCAGCCCCCCTGAAGCTAGCATGTCTTCCTCGGGGGCAAGCACCAGACCTCTGTCAATAGGACCCTTCCGATCACCATCCAGTTCGTACAGATGCCCGTTTCTGTGAGACTTCACGAAACACACAAAGTGATAGTCCACTTCGTCCTCTGCATTTTCGGGGACTGTCGATATCCCTTGCACCGCAACCTCCATGTACGCGCGTTCAAGTTCTAGCGAATTCTCAAGGTATGAAGATCGCTGGTGCGGCAATAAGGAGGCGCATTCATCGACTAAGGCAGCAAAGAATGATCCACGTTCTTGACATGTCAGTGCGTGGCCACGCTTGATCCAGGCACAAGAGATGTGAAGAAATAGAAGGAACCCGCTCGCTCACCGACTAAATCCCGCGCAGGCCCATTGCTAAGAGCATGGAGGATGCCGTAGAGTCCACATGCATTGTTGATGGTTTGCATAAACCATGTAATGTTTTCATCTGTGTTGCACTCGGAATCGCTGCGTGTTGCATCTTCAGCCGCCCGTTGGTCCTCGTATCGGTCAGTAGTAGGAAAGACCAGAATTAAGGCAAGGGCGGGGTGGGGTAGCAGATCTGGATCATCAAGTGACACGACATCTTGGAACTCGAGGCAATGGGAGCTCCCAAGGGAGCGGATAAGTCTGTTGAACACGTCCGGGTTCGACTCAAGCGGGAGAAAATGCTTTGTGTACGTGGTAGACATGTTTGATGCATGCATCATCACACAGGATCTGTCTTGTCGGCTGGCGACGAGTAGCCAGCCCTATCATTCCCCGCAGAACTGCTATTACAAACGACCTTCGCCCCACTTCTCCCGTTTGGGAAAGCTGCGGAGGCGCTGCAGGGGCTCTCAGCGCTAAAGTCGAAACTCGCAAGGATTAACGACGCTATTCTCGAAGGCTGCTGCAAGTCGGATGCTCGCACATGCCACTTCCGCTCTCCTCACGCAGGACATTGTGTGCTTTCCATGCCGGACAATGCTGACGCCGCAGACGTAAGGTCTGATTCAGCTGTGAGAACTTGTTATGTGCGTCTGCACCTGCTTCTGGTCTTGCGTCTGAGTCTGCCTCTGCCTCTGCACCTGGAACTGCACCTGGACGTGAACCGCGTCAATGTCACTCCAGGCTGCAACCTCGCCCAATCCCTGCTTCATGCGGGTCATCTTTGTCATGGTCAGTCCAAGGCCTGTCTATTTGGTGAAAAGATATGGTTCCTCACAGTACGGCTGGGCCTGTTGGGAGTAGGTGGCCTAATCTGAGCTCCGTCGGTCTTCCTTGAGCTATTCATGTTGGCGATGCGTCAAAGCTGGCGTTTTCTTCGTTTCCATAAAAGGAGAGGATCTGTAAGGTCACTCCGTGGTTAGACCTGGGCGCAGCACGAGTATATATGGCCAGAATCTGGATGTGCTTAATATTCATATGAGGCTTAGCATGCTCGGGAGACTACCGCTGTTTAAATTCAAACGAGTGCTGATCTGGAGTGCATGACTGATGTATTTGATCCTACCCACCTGCATCAAGTTCACACTATTACCCCTGAATATTTACACATTTGTAATCTTGGATCCTAGTCACAGTTGCAGCTACAGAAACGTGGATCCAGCGTATCACTGGGCTTTGGAGGCGTGGTGTGCGCATCCCGAAGCAGTTTACTTCCTAGGCATCGATGAGCACGAATCTTGGAATGGCATAGTCTTCGAGTGGCATTTTCGACACCTTAGGCTGCATTCGAATATGCAATTAACATACAGCCATATCTGTGTCGAGAAAAGTCGTCAGCGAGTATGTGCCGCTCAGTTCCTCTGTCCGGTCACTGCGTATATATATATCTGCTGCGTCTCATGTTTTGCAATGCATCAATACGTTATCGCAACGACCATCCATGTATCAAACATCTATCACTCTGCTTCAATCACATGATCTCCAGCCTGCAGACAATGCAAAATCCCTCGTCTGACACCAAAAAAGAAGGCGGTAATGACGGAGCCCCCTCCTCAGGGCAAGGGAGTGGTACCAGCACCACGGGCTCTATGGACTCCATCGGAGGCGGGTCAGGCCAAGGAACAGTGCCTCGATAAAGTAAGAGCATGCCACACCCAAGCCGTATGGATTGAGCTGATGCGTGGGGTGCTTTAGATTTGTTGAGACGATTATGGCTGTGCTTTAATGTTCACTTACTTAGAAGTGAAGTCGGTGTTTTGTTTCTCCGAGAGCCGTTTTTTTTTTTTTTTGGAGATTGATTAGCGGGGACTTGACTGGGTGGAAAGTCGTTGCCTGAGGATTTAGCAATGAATGTATCAAGATAGCTGGTAACGGTCTGTAGCTCAAAGGCAGAATGACTCAAAAACATCGACAGAGCAGTTTTCCGGGTGTCTAAATTAGCATTGCATCCTTTCTATTTCAACTTTTCAGCATGTCACCAACACTTGTTGAAGGAGGCCCGAAACTTGAAGCGGCTATCTGTGAGGTTCGATCTATCATCAAGCAGGAAGATTTTATCAACATCAAATTTGAGAAGGATGAGTTTGGACATGACAAAAATCTAGATGTATCTAAGCTTGTGGAGAACGACATCTACAACGAAGCCGTCCAAAAGGTTGGCCAAGAGGTCGTGAATCAAACGGTATGTACGACAGCTTCCGATGAGACAACACTGCTGACCAACCAAACATAGAAGACAGCGGTTCGGCAAAGATGGCCAAACGATGAAATCAGGTGGCGCGCCAATGTGATCCGCCATAGACATGGTTCTATAGCGGGCTACTTGAGCGCCCTACTGCCCATACCTAATGAGGCCAGCGCACGGCCCCAAATCGTCTTTCATTCGGCAAGTCACGACCACCAGGCACAGCGTCCTGCGGCAGTGACCATCACAGAAGGGAATTCTGAGATATACCTGTTTGACGAAGACACCAGTATCAGTGTGTACAACGGAGAGCTCATCTATGTGCTGGTACGGTTCGATAATAAGATGCCTGAGCAGCAGACCGGTGACAATTAAAACTTGATTGATACTATCGATACATGATACCGTCCAAAGAGCCTTGCCCGAAATCGCTCTCGCATCCAAAGTCAATGCTTTCCATGTTGGCAACACCTCCGTAAAGGTTGGGCCAATCTAGTTCCGGCCCTGAACTGTCGCCGAAGCCAAAGCCGGTATGACCGGTTGGCGTCACATTTCCAGCTTCATGGTCATTTGGGGTTCCATTTGCATTGGAGGCAAAGCTGCTGTCCGGCTGTGTGGTTTCGGACTCGGAGGCCATTGGCTGCTGTACATTAACCCCCGTGGCCCTCCAAGATGCTTCCACCAGAGAGAAATCTACCTTCATAAGGAGATTTTTGCTGCTTGAGTCTCCGACCCATTGAGGTTCCAGATCCAAAGCAGCAAGGTTGGGGAAAGCCAAGTCACGGCAAGCATCTTGAAAACTGTACACCGGCGTCCCACTCATGGGCCGATTCTTCACCATGGCAACCCAGACAGCCGCATTAGGTATTTGATACCCTGCTGGAGGTATGTGCAGCTTCTCGTGTAACTCTTGAACCGCCAGACTGATAATTTTCTCTCGAGTTGGAGCGTCCGCCCTTGCAATGTAGGTAAGACGGGTTCCAGATTCTGGATCGGCATTTCAGTCAGCAGTGGACCCAAGAGGATGGTCCTTCCACTCACCGGCAAGGGCGCCAAAAATGACCATAGAAACCACCCCGTCAGTGACGAGCAGTCTGTCCACGACCGAGTTGATCACGAATATCGCCTTGGCTGCGCTGGTGCTCTGGGCCACGTCGCCGGTCGCGCGGCTGACGAAGTCCATGCAGCCTTTGAAGTACCAAAAGTCCCAGGAATCGCTCTTAACGCCCTTCTGCTGGCTCTCACGGTGAAACTCCTTTGACAGCTCCCCGAGCACATGCTTACTGTCTTCCTCAGCACATCGCGACAGAATTGCTTGGATCCCGGACAGATGTCTCCCGCCTCTCCTCCTCCTCTTCAGACGCTCTTGTCCTAGTAGTATCAGACTAACAAGGTCACCAACAAGTGTTTCAACGGATTTGCGTTCTTTTTTTGGCCTTTTAGGATCGTGCTCAGCAGATTCAGCCGTCTTTGGAAACTCGGAGCCGATAATATTGCCAGGCGCCGTGGATGTCTCATTGTGACTTCGCTTCATTTGCAGCCCTGGAGTTGGCGGCGGTCTCGAATGGGGATCTGGTGGTGCTGCCTCATTGGAGCTGTTCAGGTCGAATGACCGTGGATGGTCCGCCGTTTTGTGTTGGCAGCAATGGGCATCCGATGTCAGTGGTGCTCCCCGAACGATATCGATGCTGAGGCTCAGAGTCAGTTTGAGTTTTGACATGGGAACCAGGTACCTTACCAGTCACTGTCAAAGGTCCATTGCACGGGAACGATGGCGTCGTAGACCTTCTGAATCTGGTCAGAGAGCTCTCTGTCGCTGAAGCTGGGATGGCACGGAGTGGCGCGACAAAAAGCTCGAAACCCGCAATTGGACGTGCCTTCGAGACGGAATGGTTGAATGTTGATATCAATAGAAGCACAGTATCCGTTACATCTCACTGTGAAACAGATGCTGGTGGCTCTCTCCGTCGGCAATCTAGGGATCGGGCGTATTGCTTTGACCGCCTCCGTTATCATGGACTCGGATATAAAGAACGATCCCTCCTCAGAGGTAGAAATTGAACCTGTGTCTGCCATTGCTCATGCGAATCTCTTGCCCGCTCAGTCAAGGACGGATCCGCTTCATTTGTAAAATGCACAATCTTACAATCGAGGTGGGGTTACAATATCTCCCTGGTTGTATGCACCTCGTTTGTAAAATGATGCATTTTACAAACATGGGGCGGGCCTCATGTCCCACACCACCTCCCCAGGCCGCGGCGCGCACCAAGGCGCGCACCCAGGCTTCTTTCTGTGGGATTGAACTCATAATTCAGACATCTAAATGAAGACCAACCGTCTCTGTTGCCCTCAGACATTCTCGGACCAGCGAACATTCATTCTGAGATGCTCTCGGCAAGCTCCAGCATTCGCCGAGGTGCGCTCCAGCTCTTGCTGAGCTTTTCGACGTGCGTGTCTAGCGACAGAACATCCTTGAAGATCATCCCCACCACTATGCCCCCTGGTGCAGAAGTACTTGTACGCCTACTTTCTACTAGGCACACACCAAGAATGACGCTCGCCAGAAAACCTTGTCGTAGCAGGCCGCCTGCGACCCTACCAGTCCTCGCCGCCGCGAACTCTGATTGGGCTAGTTCTAGACCGTCGTGATCAAGGGATTTGCTATTAGAATCAGCCGTTTGCCATAGACAGGGTTCCTGGCCGTACTTACAACCTCTCGTTTCTGATGTCCTTTTTTTCCAAAACATGCACAGGTGTGCTGAATCCCAGTTGCACTGTCACTTGCCGTAACGCCAATATTGTTGCTAAGGCAAGGCAAGGGGTAAGAAAAGCTTCTGCCGAGATGAAAATCAACGACACTGTAGTTGGCACGAACTTGAAGAAGACCGTGTGCCCCCAGCTGTCGAAGGATTCGGATTTGCTCAGTGCTCTTCTGTCCATGACAGAGATGGGGTCAGGGTGACGGGCAGCCCGGAGCTGAATCGAACGGTCGAAGGCACACGAAACTCTCGTCCAGGCAAGTTTGCCAGTCCCCTCAAGCACTGAAGTGGCAAGAAGATACGTTCCAACAAAAGTGTTGTGAGGAAGCAAGGTCTCCAGCCTCTTGCAAAGAAGGGTGACGCAGATTTGAGCGCAGGAGACGAAAATGCACAAAACAGCTTGAGGCTGGCGTCTCATCATCTCCTTCAGCTGGCAGGAGACAGATATTATCTCACTGTTTTCGACGAGTTCGTAGGTAGTATGAACAGTGTGCTGTGCGGCTGTAACACAGTGACCCAGTGAGCCTTGGAACGTTGACCACCTGCATAGGCGGCCATCTGGCGGCTGTACATTGTAGTTGTGAGTTGGGAGTAGCGGTTCGTACTCATTCATCGCAGCGGCTGTGATAGATGCACCCATGGATACTCGAGAAGTTTCGAGTTTACTCGATCATCGAAGAGGTAACTCGATCAAGTTATACTTGAGGAGTTGCTTTTGATGGCCAGAAAGTTGCGCGCATGGAGGCTGATCCCGTGGAATCGCCAATTGGCGGAAACCACGACCCCCACGGTGTTGCCCACGACCGTCACTGCGAGCTGGCCGCACCGGTCTGGAACTCCTCTCACTCATCTCATCCGATTCACGGTACCCGGTGCAATGCGAATGCTCCGCCGATCCCGTGCATTTTCGTCCCGGTTTGCCAACTGAGGATTGGGGGATATAAGACCTCCGTCACTTTGCTGACGACTCCGATCTTGACGGATTACATCAGACGCAAGACGTTGATATCATGTGCGGATTCAACAAGGTGCGTATACGCCGGAGCAATCTTTGCCCTCTAAGTATTGCTGACCCCCTTGTGGACAGATTTGGTGCCACTGCGGTGAATCTGTCTGGCAAGGAGCTTCTTGGTGTGAGGAATACAATGCAGGGAAACGCTGCCGCGGCCGCTGGAAGGAAACGGAGGAAAGCAGTGTCGCGGCCTCATTCCCAGCAAGCGTGAAGCCCGTGTCCTCACGAGACGGTTGACCTGCCTGAGACGACATGCGTCATACTGTTTGCACACAGTGAAATTCAAGCATCATCTTCCTTCGCTTCTCGATGGATCCTCAGCCACAGCTCTGCATAAAGTCCAAAATCTTCGACCTGGCTATGACTAAGTTGCTCCTCTTTGAGCCTCACTCGCGGGGTTAACTTGGCTTGAGACGGGCATAGTACCTTGAGGGATTGGTCGGTCACGATTGCAACCCGATGGGACTCTAGGCCAAGCGGTAGCGACTGTCCGCTTCTGCTGAGACAATTAGAGGTTTGAATCCAGTTTCATCTCGGAAGTGAGTGGCAAGGCCGAAAAACGTGCAAGTGGTGTTCATGAACAAGTACACGGATGCTCGGGCCCAAGACAACGCTAGAGGATGCATCGCAGTTGAGCCTACCTGCATCGAGCACGTTGTTGGAGGGTGCAAATCCGCTCGCAATGCGACTAGCTCTTGGTCCACAGTTCCGGTTCACAACTTTGCATTTGCGGGAGCGGCGCTTCCACGGTTTTTCGAGGCCAGATAGAACGGTTCCAGAGAAAGTTGGCAGGTACACCACGAGTGCTTCGGCGCCTCGCTGGCAGGGCTGCATGCACTTCAAGGTACGGGTCCGGCTTGGCTCCCCGTATGCTAATAACGTACACTTGCTTCTTTGTGCCAAGAGCAATGTGCGCTAGTAAAGTATCTCTCATCTCCCATGTCCCTGTCATCCCTCCCCCCAGCCCCTCATCTTCCAGGGCCAATGAGAGATCGAATGCCAACCCTAGCAAAACCAGGTGGAAAGCCCCTATCGGGGCCCTGGGAGCTATTTATCTGGGCAGGCTGCGGAGGGGAGGTCACGTGACATTGCTTAATAATGGCGCCTTTTTATATTTGGAAAGGAATGTAAGTATATTACGTGGTTTAGCTGGTAGTTTTAATGATTAAAATATATTATATAGGCGTAAGGAGCCCCTTTATTAAAGTGCTAATTCCTTTTATGCTTAAAATAATATACCTTAGGGTATCTTAAAATTCTTTAAAGGTAAACTTACTTTTTTTAAGTATTAGCATTCTTAAAGGAAGTTTGGAATTATTTTTCTTAGCATAAGGCATTCCTTTTTGCGGTAAAAAGTCTTGGTTTTTAAACTTTATGCTGTAAAGGCTATGAGTGCGTTTCTTACCTAAGTTAAATTTCTAGGCTTTTTTTTAAGTTTTTCTTTAACTTAGGATATCTTTAGGAGATAGCGAGATAAGCTTAGCGATCTTTATAAAAAAGGCTTTTTTATAATAAAGCCTAAATTAAGCATAAGGAGGGGCCTAGCAATTCTTAAAAGGAGGGCTTTTTAATAATAAAGCTAAAATTAAATATAAAAATAAGCATGGCAATCCTTTTAAGTAAAGCTTTTTTATAATAAAGTTTAATTTAAGTATAGAAATAAGCATAATAATCTTTATAAGGAGGGCTTTCTTATAATAAACCTTAAATTAAATATAAGAATAAGCTTAGTAATCTTTATAAGAAGGGCTTCTTTATAATAAACTTTATAGTAAACCTTAAATTAAGTATAGGGATAAGCTTAATGGTCTTTATAAGTAGCACTTTTTATTAATATAGCTGGAAATAAGTATAAAGATGTTTATAATAATGTTATTAAGCAAAACTTTCTTATAAGAAAGCTAAATATAAGGCTTTTAAGCATAATAAGCTAAGTATTTATTTAATAAATAAACTTTAAGGTATATAATATATATTAATTAATGCTTATAGCTAAGGGCTTAAGAGCTTTATTTAATATATTATTGGCGGGTGCAGGGAATTACGTAAGAAATGATACCATGCTGAATTCCGGCTGGCTATAAAAAAGCTAGCTTTTACGCTCATTCTAAACATTCTTTTAAAAAATCAACTCTTTTCTTTTCTTATACATTTAATACTTTAATTAAGCTTTTCTTATTTTTAAGAATTTTTAAAATATTTATCTTTTCCCCTTCTTTAACTCCCTTTTATTCCTATCTTCCTTCTTTATTACATTAAAGCTCCTCCTTAAGTTATCCTTAAGAGGATTTAATAAAACCTATCCTCTATTTATTTAAGTAGCTTATTTTTATTAATAATTTAACTTAAGCATAATTTTAATTTTATATATCTTTAATTAATAATAAAAGGAATAAAAAGTTAGCTATAAATTAATTATTTATTAATTTTATCTCTTTTCTTATTTTTATATTAAATATTGCTAAATTATTTTATATCTTAGCTTAAAGCTTTAATTAAAGCTTATATTTATCTTTAACTTATTATAAAAAAGAATTAAATATAATTAAATTTATAATAATATTATAAGTATCTTAAAACTATTTTTTAATTTTAAAATACCTCTTATGCTTTTAATATTTAAATAAAATATTACCTTAATCCTATATTTATATACTATTAAGCTTTAAATTTATTTTAAATTTCTTATTAAAGATTATGCTTAAATATAATAATAATATAAACTTAAGATTAAAATAATAAATTTAAACTTTATAAACATTACTTAATATTAATTAAAAATGCTTTAAATTCTTAATTAATATCCATTATTATTATTATAATTCTAAGTTTAAAATAAAAAGGGCTATAATATAAAATTAAAATGCCTATTTTGCTTATTTATAAGTTTAATAAATAGCATTATATTATGCATTCTTATATTAACTAAATTATATAAAAAGCTTAGATTTAAAGTATAACCCTACTTAGGTTTTAATTAAACTTAAATTTAAATTATTAAGGATTTAATATAATATTAATAAGCAAGGCATTAAATATAAATTTAAAAAGCTTTTTTTATTATAACCTTATAATTTTTATTTCTTAATAAAATATTTTTTTATTAAATTTATTTTATTTATTATATTTATTAATACCTTTATTTTCTAAACTTTAATTTAAGTATCTTATAATAATATTAAAAATAAATTCCTTAAAAGTAATTATTTTAATTAAAAATATCATTACTTTTAAGTTTTTTTATTCTTTTATTATCTTAATAGAAATTATTATAATATATATACTGCACTTTTAAGCTTAAAGCC